TGCGTGATAAAGGTGTAGCAACTAGTCACAACCGCTTACAACCCGCAAGGTAACGGTCAAGTGGAGCGCTTAAACGGTACGCTATGGAAAGCTATATCTCTAGCACTGAGGACTAGAGGTCTGCAGACCTCTCAATGGGAAACAGTCCTCCCAGATGCATTACACTCTATTCGCTCATTGCTTTGCGTCGCCACTAACAATACACCCCATGAACGATTGTTTTCTTTCCCCTCGGCGTTCGGTCAATGGCTCTTCCATACCGACGTGGTTGACAACTCCAGGCCCGGTGCTGCTCAAACGAATGGATCGAACTTCGAAGTACGACAACTTAGTAGACGAATTTGACCTCATTAGCTGTAACCCACGTTATGCTCTCGTGAAAATGCCCAAAGGCAGGGAAGGAAACGTTTCCATTCGACGCTTGGCCCCACCGGGTGATCTGCTGGTTTCGAGACCAGAAAACTGCGACCTTCCGGACATTAAAACACAGTCAGAAACTCTGCCTCCTAGATCGATAGACAACTCACTTAATCATGAGATTCTTGACACTTCCCCAGTCCCAACACCTGTGTCAGACAGTGCATTAGAAATCTTACAACAACAAAGAACGAGACCTTACAATCTACGGAACAGAGAAGCCTTGTTACCTTCTACTATTTTCTTCTTTTCTTCCAAACAAATCATCATTAATCTATGGCGAAATTGTAAAGCGAGCATCCTTTTCTCTCTGCCGGGGGGAATGTCGTGTTTGTTATTCGTTCTGTTTCTGTACGCTGTTAATCACGTCGTTCTTTTTGTTTTTCAGCTCATGTATTGATATTAATAGACGGGTAAAGCGTGTCGTTCCTGCTCACGTGTTCTCTCTCTATCCACGATCGTATTCGCTTGTTGTCCTCTGTAACAATGTTGAAGGCCATGTCGGTGACCCTGAAGCAGAGAATTTACATCCTAGATGGCGAAGTTCATGTAGAATGGATAAAGAAGATCCAAATGAACATATTGCAAGAAATGAGTAACGACAGAGGCATGTATCGAAGTCAGAAATCAACCGATTGGTTGTGTCCCCAGAAATGAATCACTAAGCCACAAGAAACTGTCAACCAACCACGTATCCGTTCGAACTCTCGGAAGAAAAAACTCATCGCCCGCTGCATGCAGAGTTCGTTTTCGCCGGTGGAGTGTTATGAGATACTACTCATTTGCGAGTAGCAGGTAACCTACGATGATCAAAAATATAACAAGACCATCTAGGGCCAAGTGATGTTTGAAAGAATAACTACCGACTGCTCCATACATTAACCTGTGTGTGAAAGAATTGTGATGACAAGTTTCTGATTAGGTTTTCGTGTTATGCATGCAAAATTACTGACCTCGCTGTAATCGTCAATAGATGACTATCCTCGACCAGCACCGTCTTCTGGAACTATAACAAAAGGATCTCCGGATGCCGCGATAATAGGATGACAGGATTCGTCTTCAATGGTATACACGTAGAGAGGCGACTAGGAAAGAATCCCCAACCACAGCACCCCACTCCGTGGGTGCTTGTGCAGTGCTGTGTGGCACACTGGCTCCTCCGATAGCAGTTACACCAAGAACCTCGAAGCCCGTAAGGATAAAAGGTACCAAGTTTAAAAGAACAATCTGGGGTTTATTGGAGGTGAAGAGGGGAAGTGGAAATGGGGGGATAAGAGGATCATTGGAATGAAGAGACGTAGGGAGGGAGACGGCTTCAGGAGCTTGACACGTTTACTCTCATCCGATGAACAAACTACCCCATAAGTTGTCCAGTGTTTGAATTCAGCCACTGAGGTGGCTGCTATGGCTTTATTTGGTAGTTTGTTCCAGTAATTCACGACTCGAACGGGAAAGGATGTCGCCCTCAGTCGACAATTTATCCGATCATTTACCAGTTTCAATACATGCCCCCGAAGTGAGGTAGTTTTGCTTAGCTTCAACGGCATCTAGGAACCATCCCGTCTGTGATCCGTTCAAGGATGTTCAACGCCTCTACGAGGTAGCCTCATCGCCTCCCTCTCTCCAAGGAAAAGATGGTGCAGCACCCCCAGTCTCCTCTCAAACGCCTGTCTACACACATTTTGGGGTAGTGATGCTAGTTACGGTTCCGCCCTGCAGTACAAGAGACCTGTGCCCTCCATTCTGCATGTAGTGTCTCTAGGATGCTCCTTTTCTGTTCTTGGCAGTAACAGATGCATGTCTTCAATATTTTATCCAACCATCCTTAAGCAACTCTTGCCCAGTTAATACAGGTAATGCCTGCTAAAAAAATTACCTTGAAACCATTAGAAAACGTAAACTAAATCATGCGAATGAAATTTACACATACCATTTGGGAAATAAATGGCTTACCTCTAGCGATGACGTTTTATCTTGCAACTTGGCTTTTAAAAGATATAATTCATGTAAAGCGACGCCGAAATTCTCCTTTAATTTCTCCGGTTGAAGATCAGTGTCAGTTGTCGGGATTCCCAGTGTACTTTTTGTGAGTCTATCCACAAGCGCTATACCATAATTTGCACCCTGATTCACAGGAAATAGTGAGAGAAGTAATAACAACCTACTGCATCCGGTGAAGCTGGAACAAGAGCAGACGACATCCCGTAGGCACACAACAATTATGACTCAGTTCATTTCAAGGTCTGGTCAGGTCAGGTCAGTCAGTCAGTTTGCACAGGACAGGAGATGTCCCCGGCCAATCGAGCGTCCAGATTTCTTCCGGCAGTATGCTCACAAAGTGTGCACCCACCACTGCAAATTACCCTCAGAACACGTCCTTGCTGAAAGGGGAAAAAAAGCTCGTCTCCTTTCACCTCATCGGTGAACAAGGGACATGGGTCATGAAGGCATTCCATATTACATTAAAATCTTATTCTGGAAAGAGCTCTAACCATCGCTCATCCAGGGCACGCTTAAATGAGATCACACTTCCTAAGTCTACTTATTCCTTTGGCAACCTGTTCCAACTGTTCACTACTCTGTTACTGAAGAAGCTGGATCTAATAATCAGGTTGCAACGCTGCTTATGTAACTTGTACCCGTTCCCTCGAGTTCCTTNTTCCTTGTTAGACAGCCTCCTGGAACATGCTCTCTTTCTTTACTCCCGAGAGCCCCTTCACAATCTTAAAGGTTCTCAGTAAGTCTCCCCTTAGTCTTCTCCATTCAAGCGAGAAGAGATCTAAGACCTTTAGCCTGTCTTGATATAACTTACCCTTTTGACCCTCAATCATTCGGGTGGCTTAGTCTTTGAACCCTCTCTAAACAGGCTGCGTCCTTGTTGAGGAAGAGTGCCCAAGCCTGCACGCAGTACTCCAAGTGCGGCCTAACTATGGCTTTG